ATTTAATTTATACCCCGCCTATCTGGTCGGTGAGGACCACTCTAGGCGGCTAACAACAATAAAATACAGTAACAATATAAATAAACAATTCTAATTAGTAAAAACACTACAATACATTACATAGAGTGCAAAACAGAAACAGTAAAGAGGGAAGAAGGAGGTCAAGAGGAATATGATGGAAAGGCCTGCCCAAACATCCATGTCTTCAATTGTTTCTTAAAGATACCCAGCGAGGGAGACCCGCGAATCTCAGGAGGGAGATTGTTCCAGAGGCGAGGAGCCACCGCCGAGAAGGCCCGATTTCTTGTCTTCTCCTTCTAGGCCTCCCTCGGCGTTAGGCTCCTCAACCTCACCTCCTGGCTCGCACGAGTGACACGGGTAGAACTTGGTGGGAGTAGGCGTTCCGCCAGATATCGAGGCCCTAAACCGTTTAGGGCTTTGTACGTAAGCGACAGCACTTTGAAGTCGATGCGGAATCGTATGGGCAGCCAATGCAATGCGGCCAGAGTGGGTGAAATATGTTGGAATTTCCTCACTCCTCACTTCCTATGGGCTTTTTTATTTCACATAGTGACGAATCCACATAGCGACGATTTTTCCGGAACAGATTATCATCGCTATGCAGGGCACCACTGTATATGATACATAGGTCTGATCCTGCACACCCCTTTCTCACTGGACAAAAGAGAAGAGAGCAGCTGCAAAGTTGCAGGTGGGGAACAAAGATAAGTCTTTTCCTCTCTTCTTCACAGTTATTGGGAGTAAGGCCTACTGAATTATGTGTGATTACCTTATGAGTAAACACATGAAATCATATTTCAAAGCAAACTTGCATTAGCTAAATACAGTGCAAGAAGGAGAAGGTGGGAGGAAGGGACTGTAATAAACAACACACCTTTTTTAATTAAAAAGCTAAGAACATCACAAGGATATTAAAGAATGCACATACATCCATGGGCCGGGTAGCTGGGACTCGTCAGCCCTGGAAGGCAGCCCATCTAGGAGAAGGAAAACTCTGACTTCAAACCTCCACTGACTTGTGGCTATATCCACTCATGGAAAAGGCTTCAGGAGTAAACCTTGAGGCAAAATCTGGAGCCGGAGTCCCGGAAGCAGTTTGTGTCGTTCTGTCAACTCCTGTGATGTTGCTGAAACCAGTTGTATTGGCTCTTGCCTTTCCATTGGTCTATTTCAGTGACGTGGAGAGGGGGGATTTGCTGGCTGGGTAACAGCCTATCCTCCATATTATTTTACCCAGGCTTTGTGCCCTGGAGAGGTCACTCCAGTTTCACGTACAATGTCAAAATACTAGATGCTGTTCCAAGTCCTCCATACAGAGCACGTTACCATAGTCTCTCAAGACTGAAGGATGCCTATGACATCCATGGGAAATAATGAATCGCAAAGTAATGATGTAGCTATGGACATTTGAAACAATATATTTATATCAAGGATGGTACAGGACACCTTTTAATTCTCTCAATCAACTTTTCTCCAAATCTTACGTTAGTAGAAATGTTGGCCAGCAGCCAACTCTGAGTACCTTGTACTAGTACCTCAAGGTTAGCTATTAAGATTAGCTATTGGTCCAGCCTACATTCAGTTTGTCAATATATGCTGGGGTACCAAGCTTCATTCTGTAATCATGACAGCTAAACATTTAGTATATTCTTCAGCAAAGAGATTTTGGTCTTAAAAAATACATACCATGGATTCTTGGTACAGAAGTCAGAAATAATGCAGAGAATTACAATTAAGGATTATCTTCTGTTAGTTAGCTTTCTGCCAATCAGAAGTATTTAATAGGGTTCTTACTTATCTCAAACTTTTTATCCATTATAAGTCAGAGGGAGGGAGGGGGGAGGGAGAAAGTGACAGACAGACAGAGAGAGAAAGAAAGAGAAAGAGAGAGAGAGAGAGAGAGAGAGAGAGAGAGAGAGAGGG